CGAGTCTTTTCCAAGATTGACCTTAGATCGGGCTACCATCAGCTTAAAGTCAAAGCCGAGGATGTTGAGAAGACTGCTTTTCAGACGAGGTATGGCCACTACGAGTTTTTAGTGATGCCTTTTGGAGTGACCAATGCCCCTGCGGCCTTTATGGATTTGATGAATAGAGTCTTTAAACCATACCTAGATGAGTTTGTGGTGGTCTTCATCGATGACATATTGATCTACTCTAAGAGTAAAGCCGAACACGAGGAGCATTTGAGGCTTACCTTACAGACTTTGGGGGATCAGAAATTATATGCTAAATTTAACAAATGTGAGTTTTGGCTTTTCACTGTTTCATTTTTGGGGCATGTAATCGATGAGGAGGGTATTTCGGTCGATCCTAGTAAGATTGAAGCCGTGGTGAATTGGCTGAGACCGGCTAATGTGTCCGAGGTCCATAGTTTTCTGGGATTGGCTAGTTATTACAGGAAATTCGTAAAGGATTTCTCAAGGATTGCAACTCCGTTGACACAACTGACTAAGAAGGGAGTAGCTTATGAATGGACTAAGGATAGGGAAGCAGCCTTCCAAGAGTTGAAGACGAGGCTGGTCGCAGCACCAATTCTTGTACTACCATCAGGAAATGAAGAGTTTCATGTCTATAGTGATGCTTCGCATAAGGGTATGGGTTGTGTATTAATGCAAAGAGGTAAGGTTATAGCATATGTCTCTCGTCAGTTGAAGCCCCATGAAAGGAACTATCCCACCCATGATTTAGAGTTAGCAGCCGTGATATTTGCTTTGAAGATTTGGCGCCACTATTTGTATGGAGCTTCTTGTCAGGTTTTCACAGATCATAAAAGCTTGAAGTACTTGTTCACTCAGAAAGAATTGAATATGAGGCAGAGAAGATGGCTTGAGTTGTTGAAGGACTATGATATGCAGATCCAATATCATCCAGGTAAAGCTAACACCGTAGCCGATGCTTTGAGCAGAAAGATGGTTGGAAATTTGGCATGCCTAACCGCAATCCTAGTGGAGCCGACTATTGTTGAGGAAGTAAAGACAAGACAGATGGAGGACGAATTCTTGAAGAAGGAGGCCGATGAGATTATCACGAGGCAGAGATCAGGGTACACCATAGAAAATCAAGTGCTCAAGTTTGAAAGAAGATTATGTGTGGCCGACAGCCCAGATTTGAAAAGAAAAATTTTGCAAGAGGCTCATGATTCTAAGTTTGCTGTCCACCCTGGGAACACCAAGATGTATCAGGATGTGAAGCAGACGATTTGGTGGCCGAACATGAAGGGAGAGATAGCCGAGTTCATGTCGCAGTGCCTTTATTGTCAACAAGTGAAAGCAGAACATCAAAGGCCAGCAGGACTTCTTCAACCCTTGCTGATTCCTGAGTGGAAATGGGAGCACATCTCCATGGACTTTGTGGTTGGTTTGCTGAAGACACAAAAGGGTATGAATTCAATTTGGGTTATCGTGGATAGACTCACTAAGTCAGCGCACTTCTTGCCTGTTAAGACCACCTTCAACACCGATAAACTTGCTTTGTTGTATGTGAATGAGATCGTTAGACTTCATGGAGTGCCGATGTCAATTGTGTCAGACCGAGATCCGAAGTTGGTTTCTAGATTTTGGCAGAGCCTACAAAGAGCTTTCGGAGCCGAGTTGAGGTTTAGCACAGCTTTCCATCCCCAGACGGATGGACAAACAGAAAAGACGATTCAGACACTTGAAGATATGCTTAGATTATGTGTATTGGACCTCCAAGGAAGTTGGGGAGTATATTTGCCTTTGGTGGAATTTTCCTACAACAACAGCTATCAAGCTAGCATTGGCATAGCGCCGTATGAGGCACTGTATGGAAGAAAGTGCAGGTCGCCGATATGTTGGACCGAGGTAGGAGACAAAGTTCTGCTTGGTCCCGAGTTAATTCGAGTAACAACCGAGAAGATTAAGCTCGTTCAGCAAAGGATCAAAACCGCACAGAGTTGACAGAAGAGTTATGCCGACCATAGAAGAAGGGAATTAGAATTTGAAGTCGGGGACCACGTGTTCCTAAAGATTTCGCTGATGAAAGGAGTTACAAGATTTGGGAAGAAGGGTAAGTTAGCACCCCAGTACATCGGACCTTTTGAAATCCTTGAGAAGATTAACCTCGCTGCCTACAGACTTACCTTGCCGCCAGGACTGAGCCAAGTCCATAATGTATTTCATGTTTCGATGCTGAGGAAGTACATTCGAGATCCGCTACATGTGATCGACTATTTCGGAATTGTAATAAATGAAGATTTAGGCTACGAAGAGAAGCCGATACGGATTATCGATAGGCAAGTGAAGCAGTTGAGAAGCAAGTCGATACCAATGGTGAAAGTTGAATGGAAGGAGCATTACGGAGAGGGTGCTACATGGGAAATGGAAGAGGAAATGAAAGTTCGACACCCAGAATTGTTTTTGAAACAAGGTAACTCAAGTTTGGGGACCAAACTTCTTTAAGGGGGGAAGGATGTAACAACCCTCATTTTGACTTGGCCATACTAGCATACACTTATGAACGATCTTATCTTAATATGTACATTTGCAAATCTTGTCTTGTTTTGCTTGATTGATTGCTTGCATACTTTGTTCTTGCCTGGTGTGTTGCCGAGGTCGTCTTAAGCCTAGACACCTTCGAAACCTTTATCACTTAGAACTCCTTTGGTTGACCTCCATCTTCACCCTGGCATATCGGCCGAGATGTCACCATCTAGGCCGAGGTGCGTGTCGCCTAGGCCGAGATGTGCACCATCTGGGCCGAGATGTTAATATCTAGACGCTCTAGATCCTTGATCCTTGCATGAGCGATTTTGTTCCTGGAATGGTATGACCTAGACCGAGGTGTGGCACATCTAGGCCAAGGTGTAGCACAGTTTAGTCAAGTGTTGTCCTTCCAAGCCGATGTCCTTGCCTTTTGATTTTCGGAGTCTTGTTGATTAGCCGATATCGTTACTTGCCGGTGTGTTCGTGCCGCCTAGCTTGCTGAGTACGCTTTGTCTTGGTCTTGTCTTGTCAAGTCAGTCACCTTTTTGGGTTGAGCGAATCAGCCGATGCCACGTGTCCCGACAAGGGGGGATTAAGTCAGTGTTTGTCGTGTGAGGCATTTCTTTTTTGTATCAATCTTGCCTTTTTAGAGAGGGAAGCTCTAGTTAGAAGGAGGAGAAGTTTGAGCTAGAGGAGGTGACTTCCAAGCTTGATTGTTAGAGCTTGAGCCGTTAGATTTGAGTTTTGAGGTTAGAATCTTAGCATATTCTTGTTGTTCTTCTTCATCATCTATCTGCATTGCACGATCAAACCTGTTTTGCACACCATTCATCGATTTAAAGTTGGTTTTAGAAGAGAGAAAACGGTTTTCATGTGTTTTTGAAGAAAAGCCTCGTTTGATCCGAAAGTTTGCATCGAAGCTCATGCATTTGTGTTTGTTTTGATAAGATCATTGAGTGTGGGTACCCAGGTCCACGTTTTTGTAGTTATAGCATGAAATCTCAGCTTTTGTATAACAAGTTTCGATCTCTGCACTCATCTTCCTCATGTTCATGTTCTTCAAGTTTTCATGCTCATGTTCTTCATGTTTATCAAGAGGGAAACCCAGACTTTTCCCAACTACACTTTTGAATGTGGCCGTCGAGGCTACACATCGACAAGGAGGTGTGGGACCTCAGCCTAGACCTGGTAGTTGCCCAGCGTGTTTTTCCAAGGATAAGAAACTGTGTTGCAACTTGATTGAGTTAGTTTTTGAAGAATGCCAAGGTCATTTGCATGTGTGCTAAACTTATTTTGAGTAGTGCATTCAATGGACTTTGCCATGTGTTGTCAGGACTTGGACTTGCCCTGACCCCGACGTTTGAAGAACAAGGTGAGTGGTATTTTTGATAAAGTTATGTTATCAATGTTTTGAAGAACTTTGCTTTGCTTGTCTTGAAAGATATTTGTTAAGCATTAATGATTGTCCTTAGTTCCGTATCTCGTATCATATTTGTTTGAATGACCATCTCGTTTGAAAGTCCCTTGTGCTGGAGGACTCTAAACTTTCGCAGCACATCTTGTTTTGAAAGTCCCTTGTGCTGGAGGACTCTAAACTTTCGTAGCACATCATGTCTTGAAAGTCCCTTGTGCTGGAGGACTCCAAACTTTTGTGCTAGAGGACTCTAAACTTTTGTAGCACCCTTGTTTGAGATGCCTCTCTTGCTTTGTCTTGTTTTGCCACGGATGGTTTACCGCGTGGATATGTTTGCCGGAATGTTATTATTTGTAATATGTAATGCTAGTAAGTAACCCTTGAAACTTTGAAGATCCGTTAGATGGGCGAGGCCCATTCCTTGTTATATATATATAGAGAGTTTTGTCTTGTAATGTTTCGAAAGGACTTCGGCTATTATTCATGCAAACCCCTTTATTATTTATACCATTCACTGAGTATCCAAGCTCACCCTCTCTATATATATGTAGGTGATGAGCAAGAAGGCGGCGACGCCTAGATGTGAGTCTGGAGCTTATTTTGGATTTTGATTATGTCGGCCTAACCTGTAATTACGTCGGCAGTCTTAAAAATTATACTTCTCGATTTGTAATACTTGCATGTTGCATACGTCGGCTTGAGAAGCCTTTTGATCAAGATGCGTGTTTTGTATATTTGTTTATGTCGGCAATTTTTGAAGCTTATGTATTTTGAACATGTCGGCTCGAGAAGCCTCTTTCCAAGATGTAAGATGTATTTTTTTTGTACTTCATTTCTATTTGTATCCAAGTTGTAAAGCTATGTAAAGATGTATGCCCTTTCATTTGACTTTTGCACTGCTCTCATGGACCACTTATATTTTAGATTATTGTTTCCGCACTTGTGAGCCCCCTATATCCATACTCTGATTGTGTGTGAATTTTGGCAGTTGGCCTTCGGTAATCACGGATTACTGGCCATCACGGCACCAAACTACTAGGGGCGGTTTGGGGTCGTGACAGAAGCAAACTGTATATAAAGTACTTTGACAGAACAGAGCTCATAAACTTTACAATAGCAGGTACAAGGAGGCAAAATTTACAGCATGTACATGATCTCTGCGCAACAATAAAAAATCTGAATTATTAGTAATCAAAATCAACTGTCCAGAAGGCTATTCCAACGTTGTTTAAGGATGTCATATGCCTTGGGGCATGGAATTGCCTGCAATCTAATTTTTTGATCAACTAGTTTTTCTGTAACAAGACCCAGCCTCATCAATGTATCCAAGGCCTTGTCAACTGGCATTTCAACCTGCATGCATTACGCTATTTTAAGGTCAACCATCAATGAATGCAGCAAACTAAACTAGTTAAGTAGGTTATAATACACTTCATTTTATTACCTTTTCCTTAAACATGTTATACATAAACCTCTCACATTTGTCTTTAACATTTTTTGGGCAAGTGACCTGCAATCCAAAACAATTATGTGTGATATACTCATTCAACAAATTGAGTCTTCAGAAATAGCCAAATCACTGGCAAAATATTGCAAACCAAAGATGACTCTCTTCATTTCCGATGTATCCAACAAAAAAAAAAAAAAAAAGATGACTATCTCTACATATTTAAAATGAAGGTAAAAAAAAGAACACCAAATATTCTAGGGTCTGTATTGGAATCCAAAAACAAGAATTTGATTAAGAATTCAGGCTTGAGAAATTTAATTGTTGCGAAAGCAACTTAGCTTGCATGTGAATGTGTGCATACATTTTTTCCCCCCATTAACAATAGGTAACGTATAACTGCAGTTGCTTCATGCTAGTTAACTAATAGATATTGGTTTTATTTAAGCGCCGAACATGAATAAAGCACCCAATGCCTCTTATCAATATGGCTTTTTGTTGGAAATTGACGTGAGACTCAATTCAAATGCTAGAATCTTTTATTTAATGGGTTTAGCCTCTTGCAGGTCTTCTAATGAAACCAAGTATGAGATTTACCAAATATTCTATGGTCTGTATTGGAATCCAAAAACAAGAATTCGATTAAGAATTCAGGCTTGAGAAATTTAATTGTTGCGAAAGCAACACAGCTTGCATGTGAATGTGTGCATACATTTTTTTCCCCCCATTAACAATAGGTAACGTATAACTGCAGTTGCTTCATGCTAGTTAACTAATAGATATTGGTTTTATTTAAGTGCAGAACATGAATAAAGCACCCAATGCCTCTTATCAATATGGCTTTTTGTTGGAAATTGACGTGAGACTCAATTCAAATGCTAGAATCTTTTATTTAATGGGTTTAGCCTCTTGCAGGTCTTCTAATGAAGCCAAGTATGAGATTTTCTACTACTCAATTGAACCAATCAAAATATCCACCACACTACTGTGTTAATGTCAGTTTGAATAGTCAAATTTTATTGTCTCACTTTAATATTTAAATAATAAAAATTTTACTACCATCACCATCACCATCACCCTCACCATTGCTTGTCTTCCTTCTATTTTTAAACAAAAATCCTTTTGTTTTTATAAAAAAATATAAAAATACAAAATCTTACACCAAAGACAACTGAACATATCTTTAGATCATAATATGGGCATAATAGTGGATGTGTCGATTAATGCATCAAATGGAACCAAGACAACAAGCCTTCAATCCATTTTTTTCCCCCCAAATGCTAGACCCTAAAATAATGATCAAAAGTTTTACACAATATTCAAATGGTGTGTGGGTCTCATATGGTATGGGTCCCACACCATGTAAGTATTGTGTAGAATTTTTGATAAATTATTTAGAGTACCTAGCATTTTTTTTTTATAGCAATCCACGTGTATTTCCATGTCAGGTATTACTTCTTCTTTTTTCCCTCTTTGGTTGGGCTTACAAGAAACTAAATTCAAAGAAATGGGTCATACACGGACATGGAGTTGCTGACTTCTTAAGAAGGGGCAATATGGTCCAAAATTTGAAGAGAAGTTATTGTGGTGGTCTTCACACTCCAATCAGAAAAATGTGAGGGACCTTGTGCATGAAAAGTACTTGTGGAGTTTACGCAATGTTTCACTAATTTTCCCTAAAACCTTATTTTATTTTAATTGATAAAAATTGATTTCCACTCCTTTTTGTCTTTTGAAAATCCAAAGCCTTAATATTTGATTCCCTCTTCTGATTTTGCAAACGAACTAATTTTTAAAAAGCCCTAATTTTCTCCACTTTATGTTAATTGGTTTAATTTGAGGTTGATGATGACCATACACTAAGAAGCACGAACACTTGACACGTACACGCTGACATAACAATTTTCAAAAAATACAGGACACGACATATATTTATTATAGATCATATTTATGAATATATCATTCCAAGACAATAAATAAATGCAATATAACACTAATTTCTATAAATTGATATTCTTTTCTTTTATCATCATATTCTAAGTTATTTTGTTCAAACTTATAATTAGTTTTGTGTGTCTAATCAATGGACACGTGTGTCCTCCAAGTGTCCAAGTCTAAAAAATTTTAAGAAAACAAGACACATTTGGATGAGTGTTTGACACGTGTCGGGAAGTGTCTGACGAGTGTCGGTATCTAACACAGACACACCACCTTTTTAGAGTGTCCATGCTTCTTAGACTATACATTTCTTTTTGTAAATTCTCATGCTTGCACTCTTTAATTTTAGGTTGATGATTATTGTTTGTGATGAACATCAGACTTGACTACACCAACCGACCAATCGAACAGTTACCAAATTTCACACAATTTGCTCGGGTATGCTCCCTTGATCGGTTGGGATCGATTTATGCAAATTTAACCCTGAAAGCTTTAGTTTGGTGGAAAACCTACCCTAAACTCCAACCAAACCGAAACACACTGCTTTCACCCCTATATATATATTTTATTGGCACTAAGGTGTCTAGATCAAAGCCCAACTAATCCCTAGGGTGTACAGGCCCTTGGCAAGGTGTTTTCCGCAAGTGCACCATAGTTAATTCAAGGATTTTCCTCCAGTCCAATGGCCCCAAGGAATTGTTAGCATCTAAGAGGTTTCGATCCTTGAACCTTGGAGAGAGCACACCCCAGACCTAAGGCCTTCCCACCAAGCTAACCCCTTGGGATTCCGCTTTCACCCCTATATACTTATAAGTTTCTAGACTTTCCTAATGCTTCTACAACTATAACCAAAGGAACTTTGATTCTTTAACTACATGATTGTACTAGACTAAACAAAATCATATTTAACAGTCTAATAACACGAGCCAACATAACATCAATAGGCCCCTAATATTGCCCATGCCTAACAAAATTAAAATTATGAAACTACCCTTGACTTCTAAAATTCAATAGAAACGAAAATAAATCTCTTAAAAAACACAATTTCTATAAATTATAAAAATTAAAATTCAATTACCCTAAACATGATTGCACAATGTTCAAAGCATGCTTCTTCTGAAATTTCAAAGTTGCCTTTATTATTCTTCAGTCTTAAATTCAATTTAAGTTCATAGCTCTTAACCCTTCCCAAGCAATTAGAATAATCTTTTGTGACCTGTTCTTCGTTAGCTTTTCTAAAGGACGAACAAAAGTACGTTCAAATAAATTTCTCTGTCTGATTGAAAATAAATCTAGAAACAACCATTTAACATGTTCAAATATAGTAATTTATAATTAATTAAATGATCACAAATATCGAATTCCATTCAGCATTTGCAGTGTTCAATTGTTTCACTGATTAGAAATATAAAATGGAGAAGACAAGACAAACCTGGCCGGTCTCCGCTTTAAGCAAGATTGCATAAGCCAATATGGCTTCCTTGTACTACATATTGAGAGAAGGAAAAGAATCAGACCAAAAAATAATAAGAAAGAAAAGAAGGGAACAACCCATAGCATCTTCTCAATCATTTCCTTTTTCTTTTCTTTATTTATTTTTTATTTTATAAACACCTGTCTCTATCTTCTAGCAGAAAAAATGAATAAATAAATAAAATCATCAACTCACTTGCTGCTGTTCAGAAGCATCCAGAAGAAAGTGAACTGAGCCAAAGCCACTTGCTATAGTTTTCTCATAAAGTGTCTTGTTGACCAGAAGCTGTAATAATGCATTTCTTATAAAAATCATGTGGTAAACTAAAAACTAAAAAGGGTTAGTATGGCAATAAAGACGTCTACTTTTGTTCAAGATCAAGATCTCCACAGAGGACAAAACAAACTTGGTGAACTCACTTGATACCTATCCCATGTCTGTTTGTAACCCAAAGCCACACGGGTCACATATATTATAAGAGCACTGATTGCAATCACGTCTAGTAGTATTGCTGATCTGCATCAAAAATTAAACAATGCCAATATTTTCTCAAATGAAACTAAACAGGGAAGCATTAACTATTCAAAGCTGTAGTATCTGTTTAGACAAAGAAAGGAGATGAACAATTAGCCTAAGTAAATTCCATACTCCAGATCTAAGAGATGATTTAGACGAAAAGGAATTAAGGAGATGAATGAATCCAAATAATAATTGATGTTGGATGTGGGAAAACGAAAGAACTCTTTTACATTTGGGTTTCAACCTATTCAAAATAGCCAGAGGTCATTTTTTCAGCTTATTCCCGGTGATATAATATGCTCAGTGCAGGCGTCAATGTTGCTTATTGTTTACAAATTATCAAATTTAATGTGAAATACTTCAGCACTTGCTGGATGGAGTTGTTAATCCAAATCTAGCTCACACAAGCTAATCATGAATATCTTTTAGACCTCAAATTATGACCTATTAAAAAAATAGAGAAACAGCATATATACTGGGGAAGTAAAAAAAAAAAAAACAAAACTGATTATGCAAAAAACGATATAGCAGCCCCCAATGTACGTAAACTATATCTAAAAAGAAGCATAAGACAAAGTTCTTCAAAAATTCTAGGGACCCCAAATGAATTACCAAATATTTTACACAATACTCATCTCAAAGTTTTTTCAAGGAACAAAAAGCACCTTGTGATTTATTACAAATATTTTTGTATATCACTAGTTAACATTTTCATGACAAGATACTTTTAAGCGTTATAACATATCCTGTATCTTTAATTATGTAAGGTGCTCCAAATCTGTGTGGTACAACAAAATTATGACACGTGTCAATCTCCTACTCGCCTACCTGCTCTGTGGGAATATCAAGGCATAAAAACAGCTTCAACCATGGTCCTCAATCATAAGGAGCACAAGTGATGCAGCGAGGCAAAATGTTTCCTGATCTTGGCCATTCTTTCATAGTGCTGCTAAGCACAACCCCCAACACACTTGCACCTTCCTAGGATTGAGAGTGGAGCCCGAGGAACCCAAAGTGCTTGGCATGCCTAGGCTGTGCACCTCAATGTCATGCTGTGAACCAATGGGAACTTCTAGGTTTCTTGGTTTGGTGAGTAGAGTTCTGGGCCAGCCAAAGTGGACCATACCCTCAATTTTGTCAAGGACAGCAGATCGCATTGTAGTCAACTATATAGAGGGGATCATGTTGTTCTTAGTAAAAGTGATGTGCTTGACACTTCCTTACTTTGTCAACCTATGAAGCACTAACACGCTCTCCCCTTCCCAAGTATTAGTGTCCCAGACTTCTAGCACATGGACAAGTTCTGGACAAGTGTCCAACATGTCAAAACGCACATCTGAATCTTAATTTTTTTCGGAATCTCCTACATGTCTTTTACATATTATGACATATCAGGGATGTGGAACCCTCACCTCAATAGATGGCTTTTGGGGTTGAGTTCTATCCAAGACCGTGTAACATGTTATCAAAACCAATGTACCAAGGATGGGTAGGGTGTGTCACACCCCAATTTTCAAAGATTAATTAGGCAAAAACTAATTAACCTAAGCGTGAACCTTTTATTACTTAGTTCATTCTCAAAATCACGTTCCTTAACCAATTCTCATTAAGTCATCAAAATTTGATTTACCTCGTAAAACGCATTTGGAGACCAATATCTTATTAAACTTGCAAATGTACCCTATTTTCTGTTATTAATGAAACCTTGACTTAAAATGACAAGAGAAATGAATTTCTAGTGGAAATGACTTGCATTCAAAAACATGTCCAAGTTAATAGTTTTTACAAAAATCTCACTTTAAGTTTAACAACAGTGAAATTCTCTCAAGTACAACACCCAACCTCACATGGCACACAACTCGATGTAAATGAAAGTACATACATCATAATACAAAAGAATAAAATACAACACTTACTTTACAGACCACAAAATAATTTACAATAGGATATATCTAAAATAAATAAGGCACATAGGCCCAATTATCTTATGGTCTATACTAACATGCTTAACAAGTCAACAACAAAAATAGTCTACTCGGCGTTAGCACCTATAAGATAAGGGGTGAGCAAACCATATGCCAACAATTCGAAATCAATAACTACCAACAAGGCATCAATAACATGTAACAGGGAAAATACTCTGCTCGCCAACACATACCGTGTCCAAGCCATAAATAAATACATACAAGGTCTTACCTTCATCGCACACTGGCTCTCTTCAAGCTACGTGTCAGAAAATCCACACCACCCTCTCCACATAGGCTACTACTCCTCTCAATTGTGCAATGTTCAGAGGTCTAACCACAAATAGTTGGTACCACTATCTCCCTCAACCAATCATACCGGCTAAGGCGATAACCCGAGTGAAGCCCGTAAAATCAATAAACCAAAACAAGTCCAAAAGCAACTATGTAAGGAAAATATCAACACCCCGATAATCCAACACTTAGTTTTATTTGATGCCTTCTTCTTGGAAAATTTTTCAACACTACCGAAATTTCACCAAATTCTTCTTTATAACCATTTTACCAAAATGCTTTTATGGTTAATAATATAGAATAATCTCTAAGTATAAAATCACACTTTGTCTTTATAGACCAAAATTATTATTTTCCCCCTAAGGGTCCACTTCACCTTTTTGCTCATATTAACTTCATTAAATTAATCCTAAGGGCTGAAATCAACCATTAGTTCATTTTTACCTAAAATATCGACTTTGCTCATAATGAGCTAAAATGCACCATTTTTTCCTTTCTACACCAAAAGTCACCAAACAATTGAAGTAATCAAAGTATGAACTTAAGGTATAAAAATATCACATTAAATCCTTAACCTAGTAAAATTAGTAATCAAACATAACAAAACAACAACAACCACAACAACAAAAAAACCAAAACAACTCCAAATCAAACCATCTTTTTAACAAGTCCATTTTTCATACTAAGCAAGGTAACTAAATCAATTTCTCCAAAATTCATACACCTTATTAATAATCAATAATTATCCCAAAGTTAGCTAATAAACATGACTTTTATAAAAAACAAATTGCCTAATATGGCAAGGAGTACACTTTTTAGGGTTTCACAAATAAGAGCCCTAATTTAATATTTAATAATTACCAGTCTCAAGCAAACCTTATCAACATGTATATCATTGTTCATCAAGTGTTCTATTAACTTGATGATTTTCTCAAAAAGAGTTCAAGAAGAAAATATAGAGGCATTGGAACAATATTTTTCAAATATAACAACAAAACTTGAAGATAATTTCAACACATGAAATATAACTTCCTAAACATACATTTTCTCAAAATAAAACCCTAGACATGCACTTCAAAGCAATATAATCAAGGTTCTGAAAAGTGGTTGCGGTTGTCGTAACGGTGGCGGTGGCACGGTTGCAGTTACAGGGTGTAAAGGCCGTAGCATAACGGTTGCAATAACCGAAATCGTAAATTTTTTTATTTTTCACACAACTTGAAAAAAACGTACCGATACACATTTTTTTTTCCATGATCATATTTATTGGGTTTAAAATAAATATTGATCAATTTTTATAAATTTTTAAGTATGATCCAATATATTTCATATTTTTAAATCACTATAAACTCAATTTTTTACATTTTATTTTAATAATTAATGATTTTATATTATACAAAAAATCAATCACTAACTATTATATATAAGATAAACAATGACAAAAGTAAGAGAATAAATAAGAGCCTAAATACATATATATATATACATATTTTAACCAAGCCAAATAGATAATGACTATACTTATTATTATTATTATTTTCAAATAATATATAGATAGACGTACATAAACAAAATGGTTGAGTGATAGTAGCTGAATAGTTTTAACAAATCAATAATATGTTCTTTATCTTTCCTCTTCTCTCTCTATCTTTTACTCCTCCATCTTCTCTCTTTATCTTACCTCTTCTCTCTATCCCTCTTTCCCCATTTTTAGCTCTTTTTTTTTATGTTTTTTCGAAAGTAGTTCGGAACCGTTACATAACGGTGCGTAACAGGCCATTATGGCACCATTACAACCGCTACAGCAACCGCTATGGCCGACACACCTGTGAATCTCAATCACACTGCAAAAGCGGCCGTAACGGGTAGCGGTAACCATCGCAACCATTACGTAACGGCGTTACGTAATGGTTTCGGCCGCTTTTTAAAACCTTGAATATAATGGAGAAAACCTTACCTCAAAATCATGAGGCAAGAAAATGAAAAGGTGAAGAGTGTAGATCCAAGCCAACAAATGCTCCTAGTTTCAAGATCCTCCAAGAACTCTTGAAGAACACCACGTCTCTTCATAAAACTCTCTCCAAACCTTGTCTAACTAACCAGTTAAGAAAACCCTGGATCTTAAGAACCAAGATTAGGGCTTTGCTTTCGAGGTCTCAACAATGGAGGGAAATCTATAAAGCACAGAGACGGACACGTCGACACGTAAAATTCAAAAAAATAGGACACGGACACAGACTCGGCTCGAACACGCCACAAATAATTATATGTTGATATAATATTATCTAAGAATATATTATATTATATAGTTATATATGTGCATAATAGGTGACCATTGGTTCAATGGTTAAGACTTGGCCTAATAACCGTAAGGTTATGGGTTCAAGTCTTGAGGCCACCTCTTTGTGCATTATGTCAAAAGTTAGGTGTGTACTCAATCTTTCCCCTCCCAAACACACATTAATGTGTACTAATTGGGCGTTGCTTTTTAGTTATATATGTGCATAATATATACAAAATTAATTAATTATTTTATATTAAGTAAATCTTGTATCTAATTCTTTTACATGAGTTTTTAGGCTATTGGATTGGACCATAGTAAATAAAAATTAGATAAACTATAGAAAACATATATAATTGCAACATTCCCTCATCCACCTAAGCCATCTAATTGTAAATTTTTTAAAGAATTATACATTGTTTTTAAGAATATAAGATGTTTATGTCAAATTCTCAAACTTTGAAAATCATAAGTTAACAAATGTCAAAGTGTTGGTCTCATCTCATATTTATATTTTTAGCGATAGATATGGCCAAGAAGCAACGGACACGTCGTAAAATGAGTGTCGGACATGTGTCCGAACTTAATATTTTCAATTTTAATTAAGGATACATAAAAAAGAGTATGGGACACGTATCTAAGAGTGTTTGAAGAGTGTCGGTATCCAATACGGACATGCCGCCTTCTTAGAAGTGTCAATGCTTCTTAGAGAAAAATAATAAAATCAAACGGGAAATAAGGAGGAGGCTCACGGGTTGTGTATTAAAAATAGGAAAAGTTCGTTCTTTATTTCCTTGTTAGCAAGATCAAGTCTCCTGCGAGACACACACACAGAAGGAGAGAGAGTATAAAGAACAAAAAAAAAATTGAATACAAATGAAAATGGGATGGGACTCTCTCAAAAAGGAGCCTACTAATCTATCAAGAAAAGTAGTTGGAATTCAAACAAAATAAGTCTTACAACTACATATGCAAAGTGTATTTATGGAGAGAGAACATGATTAGGGGACATAATGCATGAATCAAGGAAAAAGGCAAGCCTTCCCTAGGCTAGATCACATGGGTGGCTAGCCAGCCGATTGTCATTAAGGATGTGTTCATTTTATTCTCCAAGAAATGCATTAAAGTTCACAACAGATGAATTTCCAAAATGGCATGGCCAAACAAGGCCTAAGAAAATGTGTAGAAATCCTCTAATAAAATATAATCAAGACAAGGGTTCAATGACTTAGGTCCAAATAAATAAAATATAAAAACACAAGGTGATTCCCGCAAAGCCCAATTACAAAAGTAATGCCAGAGATTAAAAAAAATTAAATGAGTCCACTCACAATGCTACTAATAATATATACTAAACACATTACTAAGCTCTTCATAATATTCATGTCATGTAAATACACAAATTTTGTTCAACTCATCACTAGTCACACTGTACCCTTTTTAATTAATCTAAAGAAAAAAAATTAAAAAAAACCTTTACACTATCAATTATACTTCATATTAATTTAAAACAATTAATATTTATTATAAGAAAATATTTTTCGGGTCTTTATAGGGTGAGTGTCCTTGGATTGCACATTGCAAGTGCCAACTGAGCACATTGGCCATGAGGAAGGGTGTGAAGCGAAGTTCCACATCACATGGAGACTAAAGTAATGTGCAGTATAAAAGCATGAGGGCACCCTCACTTCAATAGTTAGCTTTTAGGGTTGAGTTCTATCCAAAACAGTGTAATGCAATGTTTTTTTTTACCGCCAATTTGAAATTTATTGAAAGTAACTTAGAGTCTATAATTGTTTGGTTGTTCACATGTTTGACAAGAATGAACCACAAACGTATCATGTACCTAATAAAAGAGAATCAAAGGCTATGAAAAGGACAAGGAAAGCCCATGGCCAATCCCTTTGTGTTGTCAACTGGACGTTCTAGAGAGAGAGAAGAGATGAGAATGTACATAAAAGTTACATCGAAGAGAAGTATCCATTGAATTGAAAGAGGGAATAAGTTTTTGAATGGCCTCTATTTATGTACATATAAGTTACATCGAAGAGAAGTTTCCATTGAATTGAGAGAGGGAATAAGTTTTTGAATGACCTCTATTTATTTTTTTTATTTTGTCTGTCATGTGGCACTTGTCCATTGCTTAGCTAGAATAACATTATTGGCTTATCTATCTCGGGCAATGATTATATATGGTGGGAGCATGATACTTTGCAATTTGTTTGGCTTCACAATTCATCTAAGCTGGTGGGCAAGATTAACCTATGAAGCTCTTCAAACCTTCTTTTGGACATCTTATTTGGTTCAATTGAATTTATGCTTTTGTAAATTGGGCCAAACTTTGGGCTGCTATGCCCTTTTTTTAACTTTGGTACAACGAATGCTACATTGTAGTTGGGGGATGAGGGGCAAGACCCAAACTGAGATGCAAAGATTTTGTTAGATAGTTTGATATACATTATTGGCCCCATTTCCTAATAGCTTAGGCTTTTGGGAAAATTGGTGACTCAACATGATATTAGAGCTCTGGTTGAGAGAGGTCTTAGGTTCAAATCTCTCTGTTGGCATTTAGTATTCTGTCCCTGTTTGGTTGTTTGCTTGTTCTTCTCTTTGGTTCTTTGTTTGTCTCTCCACGTGCAAGATGGGGTTGCACATGAGGGAGGGTGTTAGATAGCTTACATTGTTGGCCCCATTTCCTAATAGCTTAGGCTTTTGGAAAAATTGGTCACTTCAACAGATTTTGGCCAACTAAGCTTTGCCCATTTCATTTCATTTATTTTTGTTATAACAAACTGTTAAAATTCACCTACTACACACCTACCACTACCACCTACTACACACTCACCTACTTCACCTACTCTCCACCTACTCCTCACCTACTCCATACCTACTACACACTCACCTATTCTCTTCCCACATCCTCTCGTCTATATATAGGAATCATTGTAATATATCAATATTGTTGACATCACTTCTATTCAACTGACTTTAGCATATTTTCCTCTCTTCTACTTGACATTTTGAATCTTTTCAACTCAATTCCAAATGAATATTAATGTGCTACTAATTTGTGAGGGCAGATCAGATACTAAATTAGGGTTATAAAGGGAAGAAAGAACAACAACAAAAAGAAGGAAAAAAATACTTCATATGAACAACATAAAATGCATGTTTCTGGAATGCCATTTTGATTTATTTGTTACATAGCTTGATATACATTGTTGGGGTCCTAACAGCATAGGCTTTTGGGAAAATTGGTGACTTAACATACTATCAGAGCTCTGGTTGAAAGAAGTCTCAAGTCTCTCCTTTAGCATTTTGTATTTTATACCCATTTGGTTTCTTCCTCTCTGTTTGGTTGTTTGCTTCTCCTTCTTTTGGTTTTTTGTTTGTCTCTCGACGCACAAGACGGGGTTTCACGCAAGGGAGGGTGTTAGATAGCTTCATATACATTGTCAGGCCCATTTCCTAACAACTTAGGCTTTTGGGAAAATTGGTAACTTAACATTATTTGCACAACATAGATTACATATTCAAATTTTCATAAAAAGGTAACTCATGTTGATATTGTTCTCCTGAAATGTTAGCTGCACATGATGAGAACAATAGAAGGGAAACTACTTTCACAAAGCCTAGGAACCAGGCAAGCAGGTAAGTTTGCCAAGGCATTTGCCCACGTGAGAATTAAATATATTGTTATCTAAACTTAATTTGACACCTTTAACATCATAAAAATCCATGAGCAAGACAGAGTGAGACATTACTCATACAACAATATTTTTCTATCTTTGCCAAGTTGCAAAAATTCCACAAAGCAATATATAAAAACTGAGAACATACGTACGGTGATGATAAAATGTTCTCAAATTTGTAGTTTATAAAAAATGCCAGAAGTCCCAATACTGTTGCAATATCCAAGCGTACCTACAAAGAAAACATACATTTTGATCAAGATGAGTATGTAAAATATTTTTGCCGTGAAATCCTTTTGTTAAATATATAGCGTCAACCCACTTCAACTTACTAGAATTGGCAGCAAATTTGTAGGACTAAAATTTCTAATGGTTTATTCTTTGGTTTAAGTTCCATTCACTACCTTGTGATGTTTCATAAAATAAGCTCCACATGGAGGTGACATATCACAGCATTTGTGTCAAAATGTAATATTTTATGTAACAATGCACAAGTAAACTAAACCAACAAATTAAATCATCAGGTCTCATTATAAATTTCAGTTTTTGGGCATCTAGAATCTCTGAACGCCATAATAAAGCTACCATAAATGGTGACAGATAACTAACTATACCCTACTATGGAGTTCTCCAAGGGCATCCAGTTATCCCACTAGCTTTTTAACAATTTTTAAAAACTATGAACTAAATTGAAACTGTAATCCAAAAACTTCAGGAAGTGCCTAGTTGAACAAGAATTTTAAAGTGTTACGGAAAATGCAAAGAGTGGTGGATTGGATGCAGACCTAAACTTCCAGCTTTGATTAGCACCAAATGGTTTCCCTTAGATGCGAAAGCACATTCTCAAGCTAACCAAAGTGGTTAACCATGAACTAGAATACCAAAGTGGTTAACCATGAACTAGAATACCAAAGTGGCTAACCAAAGTAAAATGTCCCCTCAAGTTATGATAAACCAAGATCTTATCAGGCTATTCAGTATGTCAAGTGATACTAATAGTTGGATGTTTTACTTAACAAAATGTTATGTTTATGTAAACAAATTTCAGCATCAGCTCTCTCGGCATCCACGTGGATTTCCGGTTAGTATAAGATCATCAGGTCAAAGCAGATATCGCTGAACAGATGAAGAATGAATACCAAAATATATAATAGTCTGATAAATATACATGTACACTCATACAAAACAAACTAGACAAATGACAGTGAAAACCAATTCAACTACATAGCTGTGTGAGCTATTTGACTCCAGTTTATAATAGAAACACAATGAAATTGAATCTTTCATTTCATACCGTGTCTAGGATACGAAAAGACAGCTTTATGTGAGGAAAAATAACCTACATAAGGGGGAAAAAAAGTATCATAACAATAAATTGCATTTGCAAACAATGATAGGAAAAGGTGAAGATTTAAATACTAAAAAAATGAATATTTGACAGAACTGATGAGCACTGTGCACATAAGGATTTACTGGTAAATCTGGAATAGGAATTCTCTCATAGATCTTCAACTGCAACGAAGGAACCTCAGCTGTACTTTCAGTTTCTCCCTCACCTCTTTCCTTGGTGAAAAGTAAAATTAATTCTTCGAATGCTGGTTCCTAAATTGAAAACACAAAATTTTACAAACTATATTGACTGTTATCTCATGAAGGTTAAGCTGGAACAAAGCAGAATTTTTAAAATGAATTTAAATGATGCAGATATAAAAGTGACAAATATAAAGATATACAAAGCTAGAAGGAAATAAAGAACCAAAGAAGAAAACCCTCAACTCAACTTATCAAGCCCTTTATGTAGTTGACAATCCAATACAGGACTCTCTCTTATTTCATTTTGGTAGGTATCAGTTACGGAACAGGCACTTGATCTCACAGATTTTGTTTATCTTACAGATATTTCTAATAATTCTACCTCTTACGGAGTACAACCCATATTTTAACTAATTCCTTGTCACGAAACTTTTAAAACTATCACATGCTGAGCTCGCGTCCTGAAAAGAAAATTTCCAAATATACAGGGGAAAAGGCATAACAAATGACTTAAAAGAGTATAGCTCTACGCTGCTATGTTTTGTTCCAACTTTTAAAGTAAACAAAATTTACTGAATAGAGAAAAGGTCAAATGAAGGATGAGAAATCCTTCGCAAGAACAAGCAGGACGTTATTCAGAAGGGAACCTAAATCAGAAAGAAAAGATGTCCATCTCAAATTACAGAGAAACCCTCCTAGATCAAAACTTAAGTGGAATCCCCCAACATCATAACCAAATGAGAACGAAAAAATGATCCCTAAATTTTGCTCCCAATGAATTGACTAAATCCAGAAATTCTTCTTTTTTTTTGGATAAATAAAACAAGCTTTTTTGAGAAAGCATTAAGGTGATGCAAAGAATACAAAAATTAAGAGCCAAAAGACACAACACACGAAACACAAAACAGAAAACTCAAAGACTAGCCAATCAAGCCATCCAGAAAATCTGCAAAGGCCAACAAATCCAGCTCAACCGAAAGCATGACCCAACTATGAAGCACTGAGAATAACCGGCTTTCCAACCACATAACCGAACGAGTTATGCCCTGAAAAATGCGCCTATTACGATCCCACCAAATCAGCCAAAATAAACAATGGGCAGCAAGTAACCATGCCTTCCATCAGATAATTGTACTACTAAGGTCCCACTCCTATATAGCAAGTGTGAAGATCTATTTTTGGTATTTTTTAAATATTTTATATTTGGGTTAAGGGTACGTTCGTATTTTTGTCATCTTTTAGTCATTAGGGTTGTTTTCTATTTAATTTGTATCAAGCACACATGGTAAGATTGGATGAGTAGGCGAAATAAGAATAATCATTCTTCTCTCTAAAATGTAAAGTGATATCAGAGCCGCTATCCAAAGAAGCCATTGTTGGAGTCGATCACCAGACCTAACCACAGTAGTCGGCCATTGGCTGTCAGAACGACATTGGAGTCACTGAAAATCTGGATTGCAGCACTCTGGTTTTTGTCAGGTCAAAGTCTCTTCATCACAGCACAGCTGTTTCATTGTTGTCCTTGACACTCTCTCTTGTTGACGAAACCCTCCATCGGAGTTTCTCCACCTCTCCGTCACTTCTCATCCTTCACCGCAACACTCTGGCCATTTCCTCCAAGCACTTGGTTTTGTTGTTGTCATCGACAATCTCTCTCATTAACGAAGCCCTTCGTCGGAGTTTCTCCACCTCTCTCTGTTGCTTCTCACCCTTCATCGCAGCACTCTCTTTTTTTCTTTTCTTTTCTTCTATTTAATTGCAGTCCATACTTTCTTCAAATCGACTCTTGGTCTGCCTCTCTCCATCTCAGTTATAACATACACCAGTCCAGTCCAACCCAACCCAACCCAAACAGTGGTTACATCAACCCAGCCGACCCAAGCAGTGGCCTCCAACCTAACCTGACTACACCAGCAGCTTTGGTTGGTTATTACTCCCTGTGCTTTTCTTCCTAATTTTTCCACCATGGCTGAAGATAAAATACAAGCAATTAGCATTCAGATCAACGGAGACAACTATTCTTATCCGTCCACATTATCTCTTTAGAACCATATCACACTAAAAACATTGTATGTAGATCTTTTTTGGCTCTATGTTTTTCCATGAATTACATAAGCAAAAAAATAACTTCCTTAGTAGATTCTCCCCAGTATAAAACCACACTGATTTTTATAAAGCATTGTTTCATGTCGTCTCTTGTGATTATTCTCTTCCATATTTTCATTGTATGCCTAGTAAGTTTAATACCATGACTATCTATACCATATAAATAATGTATACATCTCAGTTGATATAGGTGAAAGTATGTAACCTATTTTACTTACTTAAATCACCCTTGCATTGATCAAATAACTGCCTCAATTCTCTAGTAGCTGCTCCTCACTTTTCTATTTGTGGCATGGGTGGTGGGAGAACGCATCGCGTGTTCCAACAATAGCTAGTTGGTATAAATTTGAACTTCACCTTTATTCTTATAATTGAAACCATTATAATTACCCTCATATTAATGGGCAACCGAATGCATGATAAGGATCCCACTAGCACAAGGCCTAGAAAGGGTAAGATGTTTGCAAACATGACCTTGCATGTTGGATGCTATTTTCATGTTTCAAACCTATGATGCCCGGATCACAATAAAGCAACCTTACCTCTGCCCGAAAACCTACCCTTAATTATCTTCATCTTCTGTATATGCAAAATCTTATAAAAACAAATTTTCCCACTAAATTACTCCATCACCCAAACACCTCCAAATTTCAATAGGAATTCCATCTAATCCTACCATTTCTGCAACCCTCATTTTCTCCATAGCCTCATACCTCTACTGCTCTAATTTTGTGAAAGAATCTATAATTTATGTTACTGCTAGAGTTATGTAGTTCTGTTACGTCAAATAATTTTCAAATAACTCCCCCAACTTTCCTTAAACTCATCTTTATTAACTAACACAATTTAATATTTGCCCTTAATAAACTTGGAAAAAACTAAGCCCTTGCCTTATCTTTATCTTATCAAAGCAAGTTTGTATATAAATTTTCTCCATCTTGATATTATTAACTTAAGATGAGAATCAACATAAGACTCCCGTGTCTCCAACTTAGCCTCCTTAATTGTCTTCTTAGCCTTGCTTTAACTAACTTGTATCTTTTAATTTTTTTTGTTAATCCTAAGGCAGTGTTTGGATCATGGATTTGGATAAAGATTTGGAAAGAGAAAGGGAAAAGGTGAGACAGATGTGAAAGAAATATAAGCTAAATTTTTTTTTCCATTTCCCTTCCCTTTTCAAATCCCTATCCAAATCTATGATCCAAACACAACGTAGAAGTATTTAGAGCTTTGTGACAATCATTTTTTGTTTTGATTGTTTTTTGAAAATCTGCAATTCACCACCGTATTCTTTAGACGATCACTCACTGCCCTTAGATTCTCCAAGAATTTCTTGGACCAATGGTAATATTTTATGTTAGCATCCTTGGCGACACGAGTTTGAGTCTCTGAAACAACCCCTCCAGAAATGGGTGACTCCATTTTACTGTGAGCCCCCACTTTAGCGGGAGACTCGTGCACCAGGTTGCCTTTTTTACTCTCACTCCACATAACATTATTTTCCTCATTTAAATTCATTATCCTTCTTTAATCATTAATAAAACTAAAATCTCACCTTTCAAGTTACACCGACTAGTTCTTAAGTGCCTAATTCCCCTACCTTTTCCTTTTCACCTCCTCATACAAACATCTGATGATACCATTAACATATATTCAGTAGTTAAGCTCTCTCCCACTATTGTGGTGCATGCGCTAATTAAACTGACTTAACAATCAGAATTAGATAATTATAATTTACACATTGCTATTAGCAGCAAAAGAAAAGGAATAGGGAATGTATAAATATCTATCCTCAGATATAACAAAAGTAAAATATCAATAGAAATGAATAATTTTACGTATGACAAATACCTGGAGAATTGATTGAGAGAAGAGGATGGAAATAGCAGTTTGCAACATTTTCCAAAAATCATTTCCACAGAGTTTCCTTGTAGCAGGTTCCCATATATCACTGAGTGTTATTCTCGATAAGAAAATTGGCCTGGATCAACAATCCTTCTATACTTAGTCATTCTAAAGGCAATTAGCCATCTAATCTAGAATAAATGACATTAAGAACTAGGCTCTATTTGTTTTCACGTAATCTTTTTTGCTTCAAAGAAACGGTATCTTGAGTAAAATCTTTCTCACAAAAATGAGTTTCAACGTACCTATTCAGCATCTGATTGAAGTTGTTAGAATAAGTTACAGATGCTAAAAAAAACATATATGCAAATGTTTATACAAGATATTCATTTTATATTTCCACTAACAAAATCGACATGGGTAAACCAATTTTTATTGTTCAATTACTACTCAACTAATTAACAATATAACCCCGAATTACATCCATTTATAAATTAGAGCTCTGCTTGTCTCCATATGAAATGTTTACTAGTAGAATCTTTCCATATTAAATAATAAGTTTCCTCGTAAGTGCTTTGACTGAAGATGCATCAAGTCTATGGAGAGGCATTGGCCTGCATAGTAATCTAACTACTAACTTGCTAATATCCTACCATGTGCAAAAAAAGGCAAAAATAAATAATTAAAAAAAGGGGGAGAGAGAGAGAGAGAGAGAGAGGGAGAGAGAGAGAGAATTGAAGCTATGAAAATTAATTACAAACCAAACTAAGTCTTGTGTCCCAATCAAATGAAGTATGCTACACGAATCCATTTTTGCCATTCTACTCTATGAAGGGCTATAATCCCCAGATGGAGCGGTGGTCCAAGGGTTATATTTTGGGCTTTAATTCTCCATATGGGGCGGTGGTCCATGGGTTATATTTTGGGTTTCTAGTATTGGGGCTAGATTGTGGATTGGATCTTAATCCCACTATCGAACAAGTCTTTACTTCTCTCAACAAGTCTTTCGACTTGCCATGGCAGCGATTGGGTCGTTGGTTCAAGGAGGGATTAGAAAACCTAGGGGATAGACACAGGGTTTTTCGATCTCATTTGGAGTCTGAGGTAGCTGCTATGGAGTGTCATATGCGATCGCATGGGGTGTCGAAATCATTTCCAAGAGGGGGTGAAGGGGTTGTTGGTTGGGGAGAGTGAAGGGTGGTCCAATGGATCTAGTGATGCCATGCTGCCAAGTCAGCCAGGCTGTGGGCAAGGCCGTAGCCCAAGCCGCACGCATGCCAGGCTGCCAGGCCGTGGCATAGGCCACAGCGTTGCTGGCAGACACGCTAGGCCGCCAAGGCCGCAAGCATGCCATGCTGCAACGCCAACCAGATCGCAGCCCTGGATGCGTGCACGCCAAGCTGGCATGCCATGCTGCCGGCGAAGGCGGCTGTGCCAATGGGTTCGAAGGGGAATATTTTGGTTGACACATGGGGAGTTTTTGTCAATGCGGATAGGTCAAGTGGAGGGCAATATACAGTTGGAGTTGGCCATCAATGGGATAAAGGTTGTTCGGCAGGAGAGAAGGAGAGGCTACCACTGGTCGTACAAAGGTGACATCTCATTGGAAGAGGCTTAAAAACCTACCGCAACAGGGGTCTTGAATTTTGGGGGTCTTTTTTGAGGGCCATGAGGAGGAGGCATTGTGTTTGTTTTCGGCCATCGAAGCATCCCGGTGGAACAAGGTGGCACCCCAGGGTGTGGTCAGGAAAGAGGTGCAACGAAAAAAAAGGGTGAGAGAGTTGCGTAATTTAGAATGTTCTATTAATTATGATCGGGTGCCTCATTTTTCATCTTTATTCTCATTCTCTTCTCTCCTTACTAACCTTAATACATATTTACATCTCAATAGATGTACTAAAATACTTTTTCTTCACTCGTATAGCATTTTTCTAGTCTAATCTTGTTAAATAATTTTGTTAACCAATACAACCCTTTCTCACCTAGATATTTCCAAACCGTAATTAGGATAACATTTGAACCAAAAGCCTTACCTAATTTCATCATTAAGGCTACTATATAGCTCTCATCCTAAATTTTCTAAATGTTTTTCACATAATAGTTTCTCAAAATATGTTTTCACCTTTCTCTAATCTCCTCATCCTTTGCTAACACCTTCGAATTTTTACACTTAACCTAATTAAAGTCTTTCTTGTTTTTCAATCTCGTATAATGAGCATCATAGGCTTTCAAGTAAGTATCACTAACTATCCTTTTAACCTCCTTGAGTGCCTAAGAACCTATATGTGATTGCTTAAACTCTTGCATCACAACCTATGAAGCACCGACACTTCCCCAAGGCCTGCGTACACACATCGGACACGCAATGGACACATGTTCGACACTCTCTCTAACGTGTCCTCTTTTTTTTTTTGAATTTTTGTAGTCAGAGATGCCATGGACACGCTGTGACACTTTCCGGACACGCCTGAGGTGGATTGAAGCCCTAACTGTTGGAGAGGAGACAGAGAAAGAGACAAAGACAGAGAAAGAGATCGAAGGAGGAGAGGAGAGGAGCCCTAACCTGTTCAGATCAATTGAAGAAGGTGAGGTTTTCTTCGTCTGCTCTCTTCTTCTTCACCTCGTCCTCTTCGTCTTCTGTCTCCATCTTCTTCTCCTCCCTTTTCTTCGACTTCTCCTATTCTCTCTCTCTGATTTCACTTTCCCCCCTTTTGCTAATTCGCTTTCCCCTCTTTTTTATTTCACCCGTTTCTCTCTCTCTCTCTCTTCTTTTTTCTTTTTTTTTTTATCCTTATTTTTGTTAAACCTAAAATTCATAAAATAAATTATTTTTATTTAAAAAAACTCATTTTTTATTAAAAAAAATTAAAAATATGTTTATTAATTTTATTTATATTGTAATTATATAAAAATTAATTTTTTTCTTTTTATTTTAGACATATAATAAATAAATAAAATTATATATATTAAACGTGTCCCTAACGTGTCGTGTCCCCCATTTTTTTAAAATTTGCATGTCCCCGTGTCCATGTCCGTGTCCGTGTCCGTGTCTGTGCTTCATAGATCACAATCCTTAGATACCTAACCTAACGAGCTAGGTTCATTGGCATCAAGGTAAAAGAGACCTCCTTAGCTAGAGAAAAAATAATGTTAAAATTTACCATCACCTACCACCAATTTACCATCACCTACCACCACCTACTCCTCACCTACTACACTCACCCTCTCCTATATAATGAGCCACTCACCATTTGTAATATACACAACAATTACATATATCAATCAATAATACAATTCTCTATTTCTCTTTATACATTAAATTTCTACAAATAATAATAATAGTAATAAATCTGAGCACTACCAAGATAGTAAAGTTCTACAAATGAACAGAATAAAGATGATGCACATAAACAAAAAGAAATTGTCAATTGCACGGCCTCGTTGCACAAAATGTTACATGACACTCAATTTTTTTTCAAACAATATATGACACTCAATTGTAATACTCTTGTTGTAAAGAACAATTAATAATGCATTATGACAATAAAATTTTAAAGCAGCATTCTGGAAGTAAATTTTTCTTGTTTTAAGAACAAAAGCCACAAATGTAAAGCCATATATCTGACAAAAGCAGATGAGCAGGAGGACAATCACACCAACCTTAAATAAGGTTCGGAAGTAGTAACATCATATTCAAGATCAAATGGTCTTTCTGGCATATAGGGAATAAGGCCGATCCACATAAGCAACCTCCTTAAAAGCCTGCCACGGGGTCCAACTGGTGAGAGAATTCCTTCATAACGAGCAACAGCCCTTTGTGCTGCTAGCCAAATAGGAAGATCATCGTTATCTGATAGTTGCGCAACTTCCAGCAGGTTATCAGAAGTTTGTTCACTGTAAGAATCTGACTGCTGGAAAAGGGGCAGTTCCTTGAACCAAAGCTTAACTCTCTCAGTCCAAACTTGTGCATCTTGTTCCTGACTTGCACTCTTAAAGGCCTATTCTAAAGCAGTAGAAGAGAACAAGTCAAATTTGATAAAAGTATAGCGTGATGTGAAGAAAATGACCTCAAAATTCAAAAAAGAAATATAGATAAAGAGCATAATCATGGGCATTAATAAAATAAATTAGTTGATATCTTTTAACAAATAGAGTTGCCAGATCTGCCCGCAACTGCAATATAGTAAAAGGGGTAAATCATATCAAAACAGCATTCCTTTGCACCATTGGAACCTCGGAACGTTTCCGACAAACCTGTCCTAGTTTAAGGTACAAAAGAAATTTCTGAAAGTGTGCAACAGCCTATGTTGTAAGCATAGAAGTCACGCTTTTTTACTGCAACAAATCACAAAACTTTCTACATCACAAGTTAGAACTGCACCAGCAGAGAAAAATATTGGTAATTCTGGACAGCTAAATAATTGCTCAATCATTAAAAAATAACAACTACAAGTCTAGAACAGAGACACTCCCATTGGACACATAACAGACTTCTGATTAAGGTACCAAAATTCCACTGATAAATAAAGATATGATCACAGAGAGGACTGCAAAATTCCCAAACACCTCAAAACTAGCATCATATGTGAATAGAAAAGGGGGGGGAAATACTTAATTAAACAGAAGATAAATCTTGAAAGAACTATTACCACTCCATATTGTAAGACAAAACTGGTAAGTTTGGCTAGGTGAAAGTGAAGTGTTTTATCTTCCTATAAACAAAATAATTATAGTGCCCACTTGGTTCATAGCATACCAACGAGAAGAGCCTGGAACTTCACATGGAGCAACATTTAAGGCATCATGGAGTGAAGTTTGGAAATAATTTTTGAGTCTTTATTTGTGTTTCATTATTTAGTATACTGTTGTGCAGATTTTATAGTATTATATTATGCATTAGTGGTTAAGGGTATCTTGGTAATTTCAATAATTGTTGAACATGAGTCAAAAGAAAAAATGACCCTATGTCTGAAGATACTAAAATGGCAAAATAGTGAGACACAAGCTATAGTAAAAACAAAAAATGAATGTTTTAAAAAGTGGCAAAATGAGAAAAATTTTAAGAGATAAAAAGATAGCTAATAAGGAGGTCAAAAGAACAATTAGAGATGGTAAGTTAACGTATGACAATCTTTTTTTTGATCAGCAACCGATGACAATCTTTACACTGGATTAGATAGTAAAGATGGAGAAAATAATATTTACAAACTTGCTAATTGAGAGAAAGGAAAACAAGACTTTAATAAACTAAAGTGTATAAAAAGTGAGGGTTTGAGTGTGTTAGTGAAAGATGACAAATTTAAAAAATAGATAGAAAAGTTATTTTGAGAAACTGTTAAATGACAAAAAAAAAAGAAAAGTAGAAAACTTAATAGGAGAGGAATATGATAGTGTTCATGAAAATAGAGAATATGGGTTTCAATGTCAATACGGGAGTCAGAGGTGGATTTTGCACTAAAGAAGATGAAATTAGTAAGGCATTAAGACCATATTGTAGCCCTATTGAGGTTTGGAAAAGCTAGGTAAGGACGGGGTGTCTTGGTTAACAAGATTATAATGAATAGGAAAATGTTTGACGAATGGAGAAAAAGCATTTTGAATTCTGGACATTGCACATCATATTATGATGTTGACTGCTGGAATAGGATGGAACTTAGTCACATGCTCTGATATGCATTGACCACACAATCCCTATTCCATTTATGATATATGGAATTAGCCTATGCTTCCAATGTAAATCAAGACTAACTTTATTAATCAAGTGCACATCAGCAAAGATTTGTCTAGGCCTCCGGTAACGATGTGGTTGCTGGCTGGTCATGGTGCCAAATCCACAGTGGGTGGGGTTGGGGCAGTGACAAAAGGGGCACGTATAGTGTAAAATAAGTTAAGTAGATGTAAGCAACAAAACTCTCTCTTTATAAACATTAAAGGAACCCAAGTTGTATGACATGATGCAAAGTAATACCTAACCATTAATGTCAATGCAAGAGTATGGTAAGAAAGAAAAATTAAAGAACCAAGACTCGGTGAAGTTGAATGGAAAAAAAGCCAAGGCAAATATGTAGGGTTTGGTGCATAGAAAATGTATACATAATCAACTCTGTTGAGAAGGTAGGAATTTGCATAGTCAGCAATCAAGATACAATGCAGGGTTCTTAATGGTTTATAGTGTGGTACAATTCCTGGGAACTGAACCTGAAATTGAGAAGAGTCCGTCTTGACTAGGCACTTAAAAAGGATGATAATAAACAATATGACATGGCTTAACCAGTTTATAGTGTGATACAATGCTGAATTGGATGATACACCAATCCACACCAAATTCAGGTTCAGTTCTCATTTTCTCTGTAGTAAGAATCAATTGCAAAATAGTGCCTAGAGAATCCAAACTGACTCAGGAGATAAATTCTCAAATCAAGAGGGGCAAAGAAACCCCACAAGATCTCATGAGCTCTGGTTGGATTTAGAAGAATTCTAGGCTATAAAAGTGGGTGGTCAAGTATTCAATTAAAATAATTTCAGAAGGGAAGGAAGGGAAGAAAAAGTTCAACATTATTTTTACAACAACAGCCGCAAAGAGATGAAGAGAGTAAGCACCTCCATCTTATTGCTAATGCTGCAAATTCCTACCACTGTTCACTTGGGAAATCCATAATGCTAAATTAAGACACGCAACATCTGTAATAACTGTTCATTGTAATATGAATATAACAGAAATATATTCCTTCTTCCTCATATTTTCGGAGTTCTTCTTCCTCATATTTTCTAAGTAAAAGCAACACGGGATTTTAGTCCATCTGTGTTGAGACATCCAATAGTAGCATATGAGCTGCTCCAATAAAAAATCAGGGGCAACAAAAAAATGAAAACATGTCTTAAATGTGAAAGCAGACAAACTTTTCACATATAGAATTTAGTAATAAAAAAGCGAACATCTCTAATCACAATGATATCTAGTTAGCTTTACATATGCCAAGGATCACTCTGCTAGAAGACTTGCTAAATATGGAGAATTCAATATTCCCACAATTATGGCAGTTACCTCAGTTATCCATACACCAACTTTTGCCAATGGTTTGGAAATGACAAAGAAAATTCCTTGCAGAAGTTTCGACTGTAAGTAATCCAATTTTTCAACAATTAGTAAACCCTTCTGCCTCTCTGTCGCATAACCCCGCCTATACAATAAAAGATAATCACATATGAACTCTAAATGACCTGCCAATGTGGGCCAGAATTGCATAGCAGAAAAATAGGAACAGATTTTGTTTTTTTAAAGCATTAATATTTTACATAGAAGAATATCTGGAAGATGGTAAGCCATGCAAGAAAAAAATAAATAAATAAATAAATAAAAAGAAAAAGAATGAAAGAAAATTCAATAGTATATTATGGAATAGTTGTGACAGTGTCACAGTGCATACTAAGCCATTTACAGTTTAAATTACCACCTTGTAGTCAAAGACATTCCAAACATCCTATCTTGTTTTTCAATTTTCTCTTCTCCTTTGAGGGCAACGTAAAAGATTGGTAGAAGAGCAGAAAATACTCAAAAAATAAAAGAAAACTTTCACCATATCTCAGCAGCACAAAGCACTAGACTCCTCTGCACTAACATGTACATTTTTTTTTTTTGGGGTTAGGAGACAAGTGAGCAAAATTTATTAAAGGCATCAAAAGGGGTGCAATATCTGTTCACTAGAAATATTCGAACAAAAAAAGAAAAAAAACATCAACAATGTAGAGCTCACCAATAAAATTTATATAAATAAAAAAGATTCATAAAAGCTTCCTTAGAGAGAGAGAGAGAGAGAGGCATATACACCAAAAACACAAAAGGCTCATATATATTCCTCACAAGTCAAGAGAATCAACAAAATCTACAAATTGGTCAAGATTGGGGAACACTATCCCTGAAGTCTAACTACACAATATGGCCAAAAAGGAACTCCTGAGAATATACAAAGGTGGGGTGTCTGTTGATACTTTATTGAACAAAATCATAGACTGGGAGAAAGTGACAACGATACTCCAGTTGACAAGGGTTAGAACCAAAGACAGGTGGATTATTTATCTCTCACACACTCATTCTGATTTACCCTCACTTTTTTGGTAATAAGTGAGAATTTTATTGAAAATAAAAAGAACACATAAATCAAGAGGGGAATACCCCAGTACATGAAGAACTCTAAAACCAAAAATAAAATAAAATTATGGGGAATAAATCCAAGGCTCACAAAATGAAGATGTTGTATAGGATAAGCCAATTGCTACAAATGGTCAAATTTAGATTAAAAGTTCTGCAGTTCCTCTCATTCCATATACAATAAATCATAGCAGCCCAAGCAAGTTCTCTGACTATATTGCTAAAGGATTTGCCACTAAACTTTCCAGTAATCCAGTTGATCTCAGTAGGGCAGCAATGATGAGGTTTTGAGATGCAACAAAGCATAGATAATGATTTCTAAATGGATCTTCAGAAAGAGCAATCAAAGAATAGGTGATAAAAGTCTTCATCAGCCTGTCCAGTGTCCACAAAGATCACAAGAAGCATCCCCAATAACCCCTCCACACTATAATCTTATTTCTGGCATGGAGCCTGTCTTCAATAGCTAGCCAGAAAATAAAGTTATGCCTAGAAATGCAACTTTAAAACCAAACCATCTTATGGCATAGAACTACAAGATGATGAATTCGAATGGAACTCTGATGCTCTAAAGCCATAATGAAACGTTGCTCAGAGATTGGAGCAACATATTTTCTGCAATTTAGCAAGTTATCACCTTCAACTCTAAGCCTAGTCTAATTACTTCACTTCCACTTAACCTACAACCTTTCTTCCAAATGTTTAGGCCTTACACAACAAGCTTCCCATAACCTTAGCCAACAAAGAAACTAGAGGTAAACAGCATTTTTCCTGTAGTGTCAGATGTTGTCCATATCAATTAACCTTTTGCAACTCTGAAGTTGCTAAGAGATGCTGTCCACGACAAAGTCCACCTGATCCTGATACTAAGTACTCTGCCATCACCCATGTCCTTGTCCATCGATACAAAACTTCATATAATAGATCTACATTCAGATCCAAGTTGCCGAAAACATCCCAAGATGTCAAAGTCATCCAGTCCTTTCCCATTCCCTATGCCCATCAGCTGAACCATGGATCTACTCCCACAGAATCAAGCAGCTTCTCCTAAAGAATACATCCTTAACAACCCACAACCTATGCCAACCACCATCCCCCACCTTTTTAATTTCCAAGGACTGAGACACAAGTGCACTTCCTACAATTTTGCCAGTTCACTGATTGGTTCTTTTACTTTGTCCAAACAATGCCTTTGACAATTTTTTTTTTTTTTTTTTTCTTGATAAATAAACGAACTTTATTGAGAAAGCATCAAGACGATGCAAAGAATACAAAAATGATGAGGCACAAAACTCAAAACACAAAACACAGAGACTAACTAATCAAACCATCCACAGAATCCACAAAAGCCAACACATTCGGCTCAACAGAAAGCGTAACCCAACTATGAAGCGCCAAAAGTAACCGATTTTCCAACCACGAAACCGATCAAGTTATGCCCTGAAAAATACACCTATTCTGTTCCAACCAAAGCAGCCACAATAAAGAATGAGCAGCCAGCAAACATGCTTTCCAACGCTGTTTCCCAACCTTCCCCCCACCCCAACTCTGCAACAACTCCACCACCGACCCCGGCTATACCCAAACCAAGCCAAAAGTCGCCACAATAAACATCCAAAGCCTCGATGCAACCGGACAACACATGCAACACCAATTAACTAAGATATGCCTTTGACAAGAATTTTCATGACCTTAAGCTCAGATATCCTTGAATCTCTCACTGGTTTGCTATTTTTCATGTCCAAATTCTAGACTATCCCTTTGAGTATTTAGTCACGGCCTCATTTGATTTGGGGAGAGGGGGATAAGTAACACCATGGACCCTACATGTTATTTTAGTATCATGGGATTATTAGATTGGATTATGAAAAACTACTATTCTGAAACATTGATTTGTACATATGATTCAACTCAATCAATAGCAACAACCAATCAATAACAATTCCCAACAATCACACATAAGTCTAATCTAATCTAGAGGGAATCAAATTAGATCTATTCACAATTAGTGACACGAGATAAGAACCAATTAACATAGAAAGAACCACAATTGCAGCACCTCCAATTGTGATAAAAATAAATAAACCACAGGCCAAAGGCCACAAATCAATCTACTATGAAGATATGAAAATTACACAAGATTTCTCACCCAATCTCCCAGCCAACCCACACCCAATTGAATCTAACTCCAAGTGTTGTTTCCAATTCCATCTTCATCTAAGGATTGCTCCACCAGTTGTCAAATCCATGACATTGATCCAATCCTCGAAACCCACCAAAGGGCTAGATCTCCAATCTCTGTAATCCATTGAAAAAAACTTCAATCGAAAGTAGTATTTGAATCAAACACCCTTGTGTAAGCGCAATCGGCTTTGGGATAAGCATAAGCGGCTTATAACTTTCATGTTTCATTAACCCACAAATCGAAAGGACAAACCACTGATTAATAGTCAAGTAGCCTCTTATCAAAGCCCACTTAGATCCATCATATGACCTGCATGGAACCTTTATTGTTTCCCACATAAGCTGAGTGACTAAAAAAATTAAAGGTTGCAAAATCAGAGCCGCCACTTGGTTTTAGTGTCCAAGAACCCATATTGACTCCAACCCTTAAGAAACTTGTCCGCCGTAACCAAAAAACTTGGCTCGGCAGCTTCGCTACCAATGGAAAGGCTTTACGCACCCATCTCGCCCGACACAAGGTCGGCCTCTACTCATCATCTCCTTGATTCTTAATTTTAAAATTGTTGAGCATTATGTATGATGACAGTTTATACAACAACAACACTAAATAACCTGAATAAGGGAATAAGTCCATCCAAGAGGATATCTTGTTCAAAAAGGGAATTTTGTAATTATTTAGAGAAAAAAAAAATAGTTTGAAAGTGAAAATTCGGATTTTATGAGAAAGAGTTCATTTTTAGAAAAAGAAAGGAGTTCATCAATTAGAAAAAGGGAGATTTACGTGTAGATCCTACTAAGTGGACTTATTGTCCAATTGGTCCTATGATAATTAATGACATTTTTCATCACTATTAAAAAATATCACTAATTGTTAATTTTCAGCAATAGTTTGAAATTTTTGTTACAAAAATGTCACTAATTATAAGTTTTAGCGACAATTTAAAAAAATCGTCACAAAAAGGCACTAATTTTTAACTTTCAGCAACAGTTTAAAAAATTTATCACAGAAAAATCTCATTAATTGTAAGTTTTAGAGACGGATTATAAAAACTTTGATTAAAAAAAAAAGTCACTAATTGTCAATTTTTAGCAACGTATATAAAAAATCGTCACAAAAAATTATTTTTAGTACAATTGTACTAGGACTTATTTTTTAATAGGACTTAAAAGGAATTAATCTAACTATTACGACCTATTGGTAGTTTACCCTTAGAAAAATTAGGTCAAGAATTCCAATCAACCCTATTTGTGAGTTATCTCAATGTTCCCCACAAAACACATAAAAAGTAAAAAAATCCATCAGTATAAGGAAAAGAAAGGGGTAAAGCATCCATCCACAATAAATAAGTAAAAATACTCATCTATTAAAAAGAGACTTAAGGAAGCGGGGAAAGAGGAGGAAAACGTTATATGATGGAAATAAAACAATTGCTAAAATGAAACAATAATCATATTATTTTTACTTGTTTAAGGGAAAAACAAAAAAATAATTTAACTACATCGATAGTGATGCAATCATATTCCTGATTCAACCCAATATAATACATGTTACCAAATCAACGGTGATTTGATCCCCGACATAACAAACAAAAATCAATGACTCAATCACGCCATGATGGTAAGAGTAAGTATAAGATAAAAGAAAACTAAAAGAAAATACTAACTATGCTAAGGAACTTATTGGCTAACACATGCAACCAAGCCAATAATGGCTTGATCACATATGCCCATATGAACAAAAAATAAGAACAAGCTATTAAACAAAAATCAAAACCCTAACTAAGAAATAGAAAAGAAAACAGAAAAACAATAAAACTTACTAACTTCAAAACGAAACTGTCGCGAGAA